TTAGTTAGTTCAGCAACTGTGATTCACTTGCTTTTATTTCTAAATGAGCACCTAGAACACCAATACACAATAAAGCATAAGTTAAAGAAAATATTTATACTAAAGAGGTAGCTATGCAAGTCACCTAAATGAACAATTTCATAAATTGGCTCCAGAACAGGCTTCAGTAATAATTTATCAAAATTATGATTCTATTTTGTCAGTTTCTTTTTCAATTAAACAAATATTTTAAAATTGAAATCTTTCTCTTTTGGTTTTGAAGAAAAATTGAAGGAAAAAACTAGAAAAGATAATTTAACCTTAAAAACTTCTTTTTCATTGCTGAATTTTGTGAAATCTTGGCAACTGGGTCATTTCTTGCTGGGGCATTGATTTTGCCTTTGAGTCAATAAGTCTGTCCATATCTGTCTTGCACCTGATTCAAAATCTACAGTGTATTTTGTGAGGGCATACTGAATCAGTGAGCAGGACATTTTTCAGGTCATCTTCGTTGTGCCTGCAGCCTCAGATGGCCTGGAACTCACAATGTAGACCAGGCTGGCTTATATCTCAGAGACATCCATTTGCCTTTGCCTCCAGAGTGCTAAGATCAAAGGGATATGCCAACATGCCTGGCCACATCTCATTTTTTGAAGCAAAATTCAATACTCTAAGACAAAGACAAGAATAGGTTAAATTGTAAGTCAGTTACTATTTCATAGACTCCATCAAAATCAACTCAGGTGTATTTTTATCTACCTTCAGCAAACTAATAACATGTGCCATAGCTATAAGCTGTTCCTGAAATAGGAAATGTCTTCAGCTTTTCTCCACTTAATGTAACATTGGCTCTAGGTTTGGTTTATATATGTTTGTTGTTTTGAGTTATGTTCCATTCATTTCTGATTTAACCAGGATTTTTTTTTGGTCTTTTTGAGACAGGGTCTCCCTGTAGCCCCAGCTGTCCTGGAACTCACTATGTAGACCAGGCTGGCCTTGAACTCACAGAGATCCACCTGCCTCTGCCTCCTGAGTGCTGGGATTAAAGGCATGTGCCACCATGCCCAACAATAACCAGGATTTTTTATCATGAAGACATGCTGAACTTTGTCACATGGCTTTTCTTTATCTATAGGGAATATTATGTGACTTCTGTTCTCAAGATTATTTGGTGAATGGCATATGTTGGTTTGGGACTATTGAACTGAGCTTGCATTCTTGCAATGAAAACTACATAGCCAAAATTTATGATCTTGATGTGTTCTTGAATCTGGCTTGCAAATATTTTGATGAAATTTTCAATCTATATCGATTAGGAAAATTTGTCTGAGTTTTCTTTGTTTTGGTTTGTTTGGGTTTGATTTGGGTTATGTTTTTACTTGGTTTGGATGTGAGGAAATATGGTCTTCATAGAATGAGTTTCATCATTCTTCCCTTCTCTCTTGTGGAACAGTTTGAAAAGTGTCACTATTAGATAATCAAAAGTTTGATAGAAAGCCTGGTGAGATGACTCAAAGGTAAAGGGCACTCCCTGTTCTTGCGGAGGATGTGGTTCAGTTCCCAGCCCCTACTTAGTGACTAACAACCATCCATAACTCCAGTTCCATGGATTTGACCTTCTCTTCAGATCTCTATCGGTATTGGAGGCATGTGCTGCACTAACATACACAGAGGTAAAACATACACTTAAAAATAAATAAATGAGTGGCTAGAGAGTTGGCTCAGTAGTTAAGAGCGCTAGCTGCTCTTGCAGAGGACCGAGGTTTGGTTCCCAGCACCCACATGGTGGCTAACAACTGTCCTAACTCCAGTTCCTGGGGGCCTGAGACCCTCTTCTGACCTCTGTGGATATTGCACTATAGGGGTGCACTCATACACATGCAGGCAATACGTGTAAAATAAAAATAATAAAGAAAAGTTATATAAATAAATGAATAAAAATTGGCCACCATCTTTCTTCCCTATGATTAA